TTGATAAACAGAATCTCAAGCATGTTTGCTTGACGTGCAAGAACCAATGAGGTTTGTTTGAGCTTCAGCAAGAACCAATGAGGTTTATTCTCGTGTTACGCATCACGTTTGAGCGTCTGCAAGAACCAATGAGGTTCATCCTCGTGTTACGCATCACGTTTGATCTTCTGCAAGAACCAATGAGGTTCATCCTCGTGTTACGCATCACGTTTGAGCTTCAGCAAGAACCAATGAGGTTCATTCTCATGTTACGCATCACGTTTGAGCTTCAGGAAGAACCAATGATGTTCATTCTCGTGTTACGCATCATGTTTGATCTTCTGCAAGAACCAATGAGGTTCATCCTCGTGTTACGCATCACGTTTGATCTTCTGCAAGAACCAATGAGGTTCATTCTCATGTTACGCATCACGTTTGAGCTTCAGGAAGAACCAATGATGTTCATTCTCGTGTTACGCATCATGTTTGATCTTCTGCAAGAACCAATGAGGTTCATCCTCGTGTTACGCATCACGTTTGAGCGTCTGCAAGAACCAATGAGGTTCATTCTCGTGTTACGCATCATGTTTGATCTTCTGCAAGAACCAATGAGGTTCATCCTCGTGTTACGCATCACGTTTGAGCTTCAGCAAGAACCAATGATGTTCATTCTCATGTTACGCATCACGTTTGAGCTTCAGCAAGAACCAATGATGTTCATTCTCATGTTACGCATCACGTTTGAGCTTCAGCAAGAACCAATGAGGTTAATTCTCGTGTTACGCATTACGTTTGAGCTTCAGCAAGAACCAATGATGTTCATCCTCGTGTTACGCATCACGTTTGAGCTTCAGCAAGAACCAATGAGGTTCATTCTCGTGTTACGCATCACGTTTGAGCTTCAGCAAGAACCAATGAGGTTCATTCTCGTGTTACGCATCACGTTTGAGCTTCAGCAAGAACCAATGAGGTTCATTCTCGTGTTACGCATCACGTTTGAGCTGTCACGTAGGTTTGGTTGAGCTTCTGTTTATGTTACCTGATCAATGTTTACATGTGAATAAAAGCCTGCATTAAATCTGTTCATCATATAAAGCGATTGTGTCTCTTCAGAAATTTTGGACTAAACCGCTCAATTGATATGGATTAGTTTTACAATCACTTTATGAACTTTTTGAAGCATCAAAGTGGTAGTTGCACAGCTGTCAATGGAGGGACAGAAAGTTCTCAGATTTCATCAAAAAGATCTTCATTTGTGTTTGTAAGATGAAGGAAAGTCTTACGGGTTTGGAACGACATGAAGGAGAGTAATTAATGACAGAATTTTCATTTTTGGCTGAACCACCCCTTTAATGAACGAATCTCATATGGTTTCTGCAAAATGTCCTTATTAAAAGATGCATGTTTCCTCTTGTCCTAAAGCACCTGTCTCTGAACCTTCTATTGAGTGCACCTCATTGGTTATTGTAGACCAATCTTCAGGTGAGTCTTTCAAATCAGTTCATTCAGTTGCCATCTTAGTTGTCTTTTAGGTCCCTGCGTCCCTCTCCTGACCTCTAAATCATAGGCGAAAGGGTCAGGGATTTGTTTAGGTGTCATTAAAGCCATAAATATAACAGAATAAAGAGCTCCTGAACTTTAACATTGAAATGTAACCTATGCAAATCAATCCACCAGGTACTCGAGCATCAGAGGAGATATGCTCTGTGCTCTGCTCTGTGAGAAATGATCAAGATTTGTCCATCTCATGGTATAAAGGGAGTGAAATGATGAACCAGGCCAGCAATCCTGATCTCAACATCATCCTCAGTTTACCATTAGAGCTTAATTGTAATGATTCAGAGATCTACAGCTGCATGACTGCAAATCCAGTGAGCAACAAGAGCGTCCGTCTTCTCATGAAAGAGATCTGCCAACAACATGAAGGTACGAACTCATTTACCACAAAACTCTCTTCCTGCCACAGTGACCTCTTTGCAGTGTCTGTTTTTCCACAAACAAAGACATATGATGAGACAGAAGATGTTTATGAATAAGTCTCTTCTGTTTCAGATTGTCTGGATCATTGTGGCGGCACTAAGGCTATTCGACTGGTTCTGTCTGCTCTGGTGGCAATTGCCACTGTTTACTTTCTGGTTGATCATGTGAGGATCTGCTCAGTTCAGAGAAAAGCTGCTGCTTCTGTGTGATGATACTTTCATGAGAATTTGGTGGTTGTGTACTAGACATATTGTGTGAACTGAACTCAAAGAGTTGATGTGTAAAAAGCATCTAATTTATTCCTCAGTTGTTACTTTGGATGGGATCAGCTAAAATGATAAGAAGTAGGCCTAGCCTATGCTAAGTGTGACCATGCTTTGCAAGTAGCCTAGGTTACATAAAATGCACACACACTTTTATATAGCCTACATATATATTTGTGTACATAATGAATAAATTAATATGTATTTTGACTGTTATAATCATTAATAATGTATTAAAGTTTTGGATAAAACTTTAAGAGCCTAGGCCTACTTTTTGTCCAGTATTTGAGAAGGGCTATTTAAAATATGATTAACAGACAGCACGAAGATCCCGGCTTTTTAATCAAGAACGATATCTACATAAAAAAAATACATTCATGTTTCACTAATTCAAAGTCTATTAAAGTTTCCTCAATTTCATTAATGTATAAAAGATAGTCCATTACGATGAATGAAACCCACGTGACATCTGTTACTTTTCTCATTAGTAACCCGTATGAACAAATCGCTGTGGTTTATGATTACTAGATGAGGCACTTTTAAAAACGGATTACATATAGAAATACTTGGCGAATTTTCATGTTTTTGACATATTTGAATTTGTACAATGAGTAGATGTGAAAGATTATACTCGTTCCAATACAAACATCCGCAGTGAACACAAAAACAAGCTGATATTTGAACGAGGCTCAATTGAGAATCGGTTCTCCGGTCCATCGAGCGCCGCCTGGTGAAATAACGATGTAACGGGAACGGACTTTTGATCGTTTGGAAGGGCGGGTTTCAGTAAAGCGTCTTTGATGACGTACTGCCGTGAAGATGGCGGAAGTTCATTCCTGATCTGAGCCGCCGGAGTCGCTTGGTACGGATTCTGTAATAAACTATTTCAGGACGGATCGGTTCGGCTTCACGTCTCACATCTGACCCAGAGACAGATTCAGGTAAGAAACGGTCATCTGATCGAGGCCGTGTCGTAGTTTACCGTCTGTGTATGTTCTTATCATGTGTACATTGCGTTACAGTGACACTGAGTCGTGTTGACAGGTTAACTAATCACTTTGACTATTTCAATCTCATATAAATAGCTTGTGTTAGACAATGAGAGTCAGAGGGAATCAACAACGAGCCTGAATATGTAACTGTGAGTTTGTTGTTTGTAGTCATGATCGGGTCATGTATGATGAACACATGTGGCATGTTTAATACCCTCATATCAGATGGTCGGCTTCAAGTTTGTTGTTGGTTTTGGTTTCAGCTCATTTGATGATTTAAATATTTCCTAGCTAAACCGGTTTGACCTGAAGCTACTCACCTGTCCTCCATTATTATTAGCAAAATACCGCGGTATCTCCCTAGTTATTACCGTTTTTATTTGTCAATATCCACCACTGTCATCCAAAACAGCATGGTAATACTATGGTACTTTGATGCCATGGCATGGTATTAATATGACCATAATTACGTGAAAGTGCTTCCTAGATCAGGAGTTTTCAATATTTTATGTCACTGACCCCACAAATAGGATCATCCTAAAATCCAAAAGGTGCATATTTTTGCAACAGTGCCAAAATGCACAATATTTATTTTTTATTATATTACATTATTTCATTTTTTGTACTTGTAGATGTAAGTTAGATGTATTTTTTTATTTCTAATAAAATGTTTTATATTGTATTACTTAGCCTATTTAAATTTAAGTTAGTTACTTTTAATTTATTAATTACTTTTATTTATTACTTTTTATTTATTTTTCACATTTATTTTTACACCGCTTTTCCTATTTTTATTTATTTTAATCGTTTAATTCATTTGAATGTTTCTTTATTAATTTAAGTTAGATGTATTTTATTAGTTAATTATTTTTTATTAAATTTTAATAAAATGTATTTAATTTATTTATTTTTACATTTAAATTTACACCGTCTTTTGTTATTTTTTATTTATTTATTCTAATCTAATGTATTCAATAATGTTATTTAAATAAATAAATAACTAGTTAATGCATTAAAACTGACATGAACTAATAAGAAATAGTCTTACAGCATTTATTAACCTTTGTTAGTATTTGTGTATGTTAATGAATTTTAATGTTCACAGTGCATTTATGTTAACAGGTAAAACTGTTAATCTTACAAATGTGGTAGTAAAATGTTGAGATTAACATTAACCAAGATTAATAAATGCTGTAGAAGTATTGTTCATTGTTAACTAATACAGTTTTGTTTCTGTCTATAGCACAAATAAACACAACAAGAGTTGACCAATGTGCTTTACAGAGTAAAAGTCTAGTTAACTGAAAATGAAACCTTATTGTAAAGTGTTACCGGAAAATTAGGCTTTATTACCCGATTAATTCAGCAAACAATCGACAGATTAATGTTTACCAAAATGATCATTAGTTGCAAACCTAGATTTGATTATAAAATGCAGTCACAGCCATGTGGTAAATTAAAGTACCGTGATATCACCATCTGACAGTGTGTTTTTGGCTTAAAAACTGCATTGCTAGGCGGTTGCTAGGGTGTTCTGCATGGTTGCTAGGTGGCATATCTCTGATTCCACGATATCTCTCGGGTTCTTCTGTCTGTGTGTTTTTTATTTTGTGGTCACAAACCCTCCCTCCTCCTCCTCCTGACAGGTAGCCCCGCCCCCAAGCGCACGCTATTGGTCGAGTCAGAAGTTGACATGTCGAGTCACTCAAAGCGTCACAGAGTGTTTGACTCTTCAGGTAGTCAAACCTACAAATGATTAACATCTAGTGACTGAACATTACAGACAGTGTTGGTGTTGAGAAGACGACACACTTCTCCTTTAAGAGGGGAATATCCACTTTGGTTTTCCAGTGCAGATTCTCTCTATAAAGGACTTTAAAGGATCATGTCAGTCGTGATCTCTAACCTGGAGATTTAAAAACGTGTGTGTTTCCTCTGGGTTCGGCCCGTCGCCTGTTATTGAGGCTCGACACACGATCAGTGATGAATAATTAACCCAGAGATCAGCTGGAGTGAAAGTTTATTCAGATCTTGTGTGAGACACACGTGAGCGTCTCGGTTTGATCTCGGATGAAGCTCTGTGATGTAACCGGAGGAGAAGCAGCGCCTGTAATCTGGGATCTCTTTACAACACAGAAAGAAAACTATCAACACTTTCATTGCTAGTGTATGAAAGCACAATCTAATTTTTCCACTTCTCCAAAGATATTGCAGTGATTGTGGATTTTGTTTCATCACTGTGGAATATGGTGAGCTTGATTTGTTTCAGTTCCTTTGTCATGTTTGGATATGCCATATATTCCTTGAAAAAAATTACATAATTTTTTTTTTTTACCGTCATCCAATCTGACCTAGTTTACTCGTTTTTTACTGTTTTACTTCTTACATTAAACATTTGAATCTATCTGGTGATAATAATGATGGTTCCTCTAAATAATTAAGCCTTTTTAAATCATATCTGAAGTCTACAGAAAATTGTCAAAAGTCTGACATATCTTTAATATTTATTTATATAATAAATGTTAAGTCTGTTTTTTTTTTTTTTAAATAAAAGTAATTAATACTTTTATTCATCAATGATGCATTAAATTGACCGTGACCGTAACGATATAACTTAAATGCTGTTCTTTGGAACTTTCTATTAATCAAAGAATCATAAAAACAAATGTTTCCACTAAAATATGATCAGCACAACTATTTTTTATCATTGATAATAATCATAAATGTTTCTTGAGTATCAAATCATCATATTAGACTGATATCTGAAGGATCATGTGATACTGAAGACTGGAGTAATGATGCTGAAAATTCAGTTTTAATCACAGGAATAAATTACATTTTAAAATATATTCACATAGAAAACAGCTGTTTTACATTGCAATAATGTTTCACAATTTTGTCTGTATTTGTGATTAAAAAGAAATGCAGCCTTGGTGAGGAGAAGAGACTTTATCTTCACACCATCTACCAAATGAAGAGATGTAAAAGTGTCTTTAAAGTATTTTTTTTTTTGCATGACGATGCAGTTTGCTTTCTCATGTCACTAGCTTTATGCAACTTTGCTGCATAACAAATGCATAAAAGCGTCAAACTAATGCAACTAGATGGTCACAATCATGACACAAAACATTTGAGTCGGACTTGCATAACATTTTTTCATGGTTTTAACCGCTTGAGGAACTAATGTTAGCGTCCGCTCAGCCTCGACTGCAAGCATACTGCTGCAGCATCTAGTCAACACATTAATTACTGTATAATGAAATGTAAACACGTACTGTATAAGATAGTGTCTGTTTTAAATCCGTATCTGATGTGTCCCGTTCTGTACGTGTAAAAACAAACTCCACGAGGCGTCAGTGATGGGTTTATTTGGCCTCTAGAGCGCGCTCTTGTGCTGTATAATGATATGAAAACACGTACGGTAATGTACTGTATAAAATACTGTCTGTTTTAAATACGTATCTGAAGTGCAGCGCAACCTCACATGTAAAAACAAACTCCACGAGGCGTCAGTGTCAGTGATGGGTTTATTTGGCCTCTAGAGGGCGCTCTTGTACTGTACCACGAGGCGTCAGTGTCAGTGATGGGTTTATTTGGCCTCTAGAGGGCGCTCTTGTACTGTATAATGATATGAAAACACGTACGGTAATGTACTGTATAACATACCGTCTGTTTTAAATACGTATCTGAAGTGCAGCGCAGCCTCTCGTGTCAAAACAAACTCCACGAGCCGTCAGTGATGGGTTTATTTGGCCTCTCGTACTGTATAATGAAATGAAAACACGTACGCTAATGTACTGTATAACATACCGTCTGTTTTAAATCCATATCTGAAGTGTAGCGCAGCCCTAACGTGTCAAAACAAACTCCACGAGCCGTCAGTGATGGGTTTATTTGGCCTCTCGTACTGTATAATGATATGAAAACACAAACGGTAATGTACTGTATAACATACCGTCTGTTTTAAATCCGTATCTGTAGTGCAGCGCAACCTCACGTGTCAAAACAAACTCCACGAGGCGTCAGTGAAGGGTTTATTTGGCCTCTAGAGGGCGCTCCCGTACTGTATAATGATATGAAAACACAAACGGTAATGTACTGTATAACATACCGTCTGTTTTAAATCCGCATCTGAAGTGCAGCGCAGCCTCACGTGTCAAAACAAACTCCACGAGGCGTCAGTGATGGGTTTATTTGGCCTCTCGTACTGTATAATGATATGAAAACACGTACGGTAATGTACTGTATAACATACCGTCTGTTTTAAATCCGCATCTGAAGTGCAGGGCAGCCTCACGTGTCAAAACAAACTCCACGAGGTGTCAGTGAAGGGTTTATTTGGCCTCTAGAGGGCGCTCTCGTACTGTATAATGATATGAAAACACAAACGGTAATGTACTGTATAACATACCGTCTGTTTTAAATCCGCATCTGAAGTGCAGCGCAGCCTCACGTGTCAAAACAAACTCCACGAGGCGTCAGTGATGGGTTTATTTGGCCTCTCGTACTGTATAATGATATGAAAACACGTACGGTAATGTACTGTATAACATACCGTCTGTTTTAAATCCGCATCTGAAGTGCAGGGCAGCCTCACGTGTCAAAACAAACTCCACGAGGTGTCAGTGAAGGGTTTATTTGGCCTCTAGAGGGCGCTCTCGTACTGTATAATGATATGAAAACACAAACGGTAATGTACTGTATAACATACCGTCTGTTTTAAATCCGCATCTGAAGTGCAGCGCAGCCTCACGTGTCAAAACAAACTCCACGAGGCGTCAGTGATGGGTTTATTTGGCCTCTCGTACTGTATAATGATATGAAAACACGTACGGTAATGTACTGTATAACATACCGTCTGTTTTAAATCCGCATCTGAAGTGCAGGGCAGCCTCACGTGTCAAAACAAACTCCACGAGGTGTCAGTGAAGGGTTTATTTGGCCTCTAGAGGGCGCTCTCGTACTGTATAATGACATGAAAACACGTACGGTAATGTACTGTATAACATACCGTCTGTTTTAAATGCGTATCTGAATTGCAGAGCAACCTCACGTGTCAAAACAAACTCCACGAGGCGTCAGTGATGGGTTTATTTGGCCTCTAGAGGGCGCTCTCGTACTGTATAATGATATGAAAACACGTACGGTAATGTACTGTAACATTAGGGGTGTGCCGGTTTCAGAATTGGTTATGACGGTTATGACGTGAGTCAAATGTGACGGTTCGTAAATACCCGGCTATGTGTAAATGTGGCCTCAATATTAAAGAATAGCAGAGTTCACACCACAGCCATAACCATAACGGCACAGAGAAACGATATCGTTGGAATCACTTTCAGGATGATTTTATCCAGCTGATGAACGATAAAAACACTGACAGCCAATCAGAATCCATCCTGCTGTCACGAGCTCGAGCATTTAAAGCGACAGACACGCTCGATATCATCTGCTGGTGTGGTCGCGGATATAGTTATCGTTCTTGGTGTGAACGGGCTTTTACAAAGTAAATTGCAGAACCGTATATTGGTTTGTCTGATGCTTTATATCCAACCAAGCAGGTTTATCACATTTGAAAGATGCACAGATGTGTGTGTGTTCCTCGTCCAGAATAAGCTGCATCATTAATCACATGTGTGTGTTGTGTTGCTCACAGGTCTCAGCGTAGCTCTATGTCATGGCCTGCAGTGTCGCTAAAGCAGGTCCTACTAATGGCTTCCCGATGAAAGCACAGCTGCAGATCATGGGTACGTTTGCATGTGTTATCATCTGATACTTCCTCGTCAGCTGACCGGCCCAACGCTGGACTTCAGTCCCACCACTTTAATATATGCCTATATTTCACTTCTAACAGTGGTGAACAGCTCCCAGTCTCTACTATCTATAATAAAAGCTTGAATTTTTGCTTGAATTCATTGTTTATCTCCAAACTAAGGAAACTATCTTCAGGATAGTGCATGACTGTTAATAATAAGTTAATATAAGCAATACTAAAAATGTTAATACTTATTTTCTATACAATATAGAAAGTTATTAAACTATTAACTAGTTTATAACTTATTAACTTATTAAACTAGTTTTAATACGTTAACTTATTGTTTATTTGGTTTTGCTGAATTGCATAAAACACTAAACCACTGACTGTGACCGAACAAGAAAACATCTAAAGCAACTTTTATTTTGGAAATCTTGTTTCTTTTTAATGCCAAATGTTTCAGTTAGCATAAAAAATGTCTTGACCTCTTGCTCATATAGTGATCATATCTTGCTTCTGAATAGGACCCGTAATTTTACAATTTGTCTTTTAAATTATTACTATTATTCGTTTTTTTTAAATTATCAAGTGATTAGATATATTTATTATTTAAAAAAATATTAATTTCATTATAACACAATAAAAAATAGGATTTTAATAAAGTTTTATTAAAATTAAAAGGTCTATAATTATTTTAAAGAGTTATAAACAGTTTTATTTACATGCATGTTTTATTAAACATTTTGTGCTTAAAAACATTTTTGATAAAAGGGTCTGATAATAAGTAATTGATCACATTTTCTTTGAAGTCTACGTCACTTTATAATATGCAAATATGTGCATATTTTTTGCACATTATTTTTAATAGGTACCGACCTGTAATTTTACATTAAAAAAATATTACTGGTAATTATCAGGATTTTTATTTATTTATTTATTTTTTATTTATGAGACTTAAAAAAAACATTATAAAAAAATTAAAACAAAAATAAAATAATTATTTTAAATAAAAAAATAGGGCTATAAACATGTGTATTTACATATTTGTGCATATTTTATGTACATTATTTTTAAACCAATAGGTCCAACACAATATATTTTCAAGCCTATTTTAGCCTATTCCTCCTCAATAACAGCAGCTTTCCTGATGTTTAGGGTCACCTGTGTTTGCAGGAATCCGTCATGAATCATGCCGTGTTATTTTGACCACGTGTTCTTCCTGTTTGCAGTGATCTCTGCCAAACTCAAGGACAACAAGAAGAACTGGTTCGGGCCGAATCCGTACGTGGAGGTGTCTGTGGACGGCCAGTCCAAGAAGACGGAGAAATGCACCAACACAAACTCGCCCAAGTGGAAGCAGTCGCTCACTGTGTGAGTGTGCTTTAATTTCAGTACCAGCACTAACAAGTGTGTGTGTGTGTATAGCAAACACAGGCTTCACCAGCACATTGTCCTCAATTCTCTATTAAATGCTTTAATCCTCCCGACGTGAAGTGATTGTTCAGAATGACGTCAGCACTGACTGCATCATCAGTGCTGTTTGTCAAGTCAAGCGAGTGTGTGATCAGAACTCTAGCACTATGTATTACAGTTGAGTGTGTTTTCCTCCTCTCTTGTGTTTCTGTAGTTTTCCAGCTTTGTAATTTCTGTGTTGTTCATCCATCAGGATCGTCACTCCGTTCAGCAAGCTGATCTTCCGTGTTTGGAGTCACCAGACGCTGAAGTCTGACGTTCTGCTGGGCGTGGCCACACTCGACGTCAGCGAGACGCTCAAGTCACATGACATGAAGAGTGAGTTTCTGTGCTGAGTTTCTATATATACACATACATACGTCAACATTTGAAGTGGATCAAAAAGTTAATCAAAGTTGTCCTAAGACAAGAACGGGTATTGTTTAAAATTCATGTATAACTTTGATGAAAGGTTTTGATCCACTTCAAACGTTGACAACATAAATATATATAAAAAACTTTATATATATACAGTTAAGTTAATGTGTAGTCTGTTCATGTGTAATGTAAAAAAAATAACAATTATTAAAAAAAAATTATATAATATAATTTATATTATATAATGTAGATTTGATTTATCGTATAGAATTGTAAAAATTGCATAAATTATAATAAATATAATTTCATATAAATGTTATATATACATATATTAATATTTAATATTTTTATAAATAATCTTTAAAGTCATTCAGCAATTTTTAAAAAATAAATAATATATAATTTTATACATTAAAATTATTTTTAAATTAAATAATTTAAACATTAAAAATAAACATTCTAATAAAAATATTGATATAGTGTAAATCTAAATTTGTATATCTTTGTATAATCTAAATTATTATAATTTGCATGATATATAATATATACTATATATATATTTTGAATAAATCATTCAATGATGTTGTATATATATATATATATATATATATATATATATATATATGTTTTCCTGTAAGTAATGTTTAAGTGATGTGTGTTGTGTTGTGCAGTCTGCGAGGTTGTGCAGACGCTGCAGTTGTGCGCAGACCAAGATCAGGCCGATAACATTGGCGATCTGTCCGTGTGTTTGGACGGTCTGCAAGTGGATCCCGATCTTTTCCAATCGGTCGAGGCCAACAACCAGAGTAAGTCACTCTATTCCTTTCAATGATATTTTAATATTTCACTCTGAAAAGATCACAAATGGCTAATGTTATTTTTTTTCCAGATACTTTAAATGGCGAGTTGGAGCTTAACGAAGACTCCAGCAGAAGGTATCTTCATATCATTCAATAATTAACAGTAGTGTAAATGAAGAAAGGATTGTCTACACAGTGTTTCCTTTGTTGTTATTGTGCTGATGGCAGTTTGATTGTACCATTAATGATCAAAGGAACCTGTGATTGGTTGAGGAATATCCCGTCTGTAATCATATTGCGTACATTAATTTAATATTCAACAATATTACTGATCTGCGTGCATTGACAACATTATATGAGAACTGAACTGAGCTGGCATCACAATGACATCACAGTTTTCTCCAGAGCGGCTATTTATGTAAATTAACAAAATTAATAACTTTTGGATTCACAAACCTGTGTGTGTGTCTGTGTGCAGTAGCAGAGATCCGTCCCCAACGGTCTCGGACGGTCAGGATCGACCGTCTGCTCCTAACGGTCGTGTGAATGGTTTGGACTCTCCGTCAGGGTCAGCAAGAGGGTCACGCGCCCCGAGACCCCCACGACCCTCGCGACCTCCCCCGCCGACCCCACGCAGACCCACGTCCTCCCCAGGTGAGACCGGCTACACACACTCGCTGGCTGAATCACAAATCGCCCCCTATTCACACAAATAGGGCGTTATTTCAGGGGACAGCCATTTGTAGTGGTGTCCAAAACTATAGATCGGATATAGATCAGATATGGTCAGATATAGATCAGATATGGTCAGATATATATCAGATATGGTCAGATATAGATCAGATATGGTCAGATATATATCAGATATGGTCAGATATAGATCAGATATACTTTATATCAGATATGGTCAGATATATATATATCAGATATGGTCAGATATAGATCAGATATACTTTATATCAGATATGGTCAGATATATATATATCAGATATGGTCAGATATATATATCAGATATGGTCAGATATAGATCAGATATGGTCAGATATATATATCAGATATGGTCAGATATATATATATCAGATATGGTCAGATATATATATATCAGATATGGTCAGATATATATATATATCAGATATGGTCAGATATATATATATCAGATATGGTCAGATATATATATATCAGATATGGTCAGATATATATATATCAGATATGGTCAGATATATATATATCAGATATGGTCAGATATATATATATATCAGATATGGTCAGATATATATATATCAGATATGGTCAGATATATATATATCAGATATGGTCAGATATATATATATATCAGATATGGTCAGATATATATATATATCAGATATGGTCAGATATATATATATATCAGATATGGTCAGATATATATATATATCAGATATGGTCAGATATATATATATATCAGATATGGTCAGATATATATATATATCAGATATGGTCAGATATATATATATATCAGATATGGTCAGATATATATATATATCAGATATGGTCAGATATATATATATCAGATATGGTCAGATATATATATATATATCAGATATGGTCAGATATATATATATATATCAGATATGGTCAGATATATATATATATATCAGATATGGTCAGATATATATATATCAGATATGGTCAGATATATATATATCAGATATGGTCAGATATATATATATATATATATATATCAGATATGGTCAGATATATATATATATATATATATCAGATATGGTCAGATATATATATATATCAGATATGGTCAGATATATATATATATATATATCAGATATGGTCAGATATATATATATATATATATATATCAGATATGGTCAGATATATATATATATATATATATCAGATATGGTCAGATATATATATATATATATATATCAGATATGGTCAGATATATATATATATATATATATCAGATATGGTCAGATATATATATATATATATATATATATATATCAGATATGGTCAGATATATATATATATATCAGATATGGTCAGATATATATATATATATCAGATATGGTCAGATATATATATATATATCAGATATGGTCAGATATATATATATATATCAGATATGGTCAGATATATATATATATCAGATATGGTCAGATATATATATATATATCAGATATGGTCAGATATATATATATATATCAGATATGGTCAGATATATATATATATATATCAGATATGGTCAGATATATATATATATCAGATATGGTCAGATATATATATATATCAGATATGGTCAGATATATATATATATCAGATATGGTCAGATATATATATATCAGATATGGTCAGATATATATATATCAGATATGGTCAGATATATATATATCAGATATGGTCAGATATATATATATCAGATATGGTCAGATATATATATATCAGATATGGTCAGATATATATATATCAGATATGGTCAGATATATATATATCAGATATGGTCAGATATATATATATCAGATATGGTCAGATATATATCTATCAGATATGGTCAGATATATATATATCAGATATGGTCAGATATATATATATCAGATATGGTCAGATATATATAGCAGATATGGTCAGATATAGATCAGATATACTGTATATCGGATATGGTCAGATATAGATCAGATATGGTCAGATATAGATCAGATATACTGTATATCAGATATGGTCAGATATATATCAGATATGGTCAGATATAGATCAGATATACTGTATATCAGATATGGTCAGATATATATCATATATGGTCAGATATATATCAGATATGGTCAGATATAGATCAGATATACTGTATATCAGATATGGTCAGATATAGATCAGATATACTGTATATCAGATATGGTCAGATATATATCAGATATGGTCAGATATAGATCAGATATACTGTATATCAGATATGGTCAGATATATATCATATATGGTCAGATATATATCAGATATGGTCAGATATAGATCAGATATACTGTATATCAGATATGGTCAGATATAGATCAGATATACTGTATATCAGATATGGTCAGATATAGATCAGATATACTGTATATCAGATATGGTCAGATATAGATCAGATATACTGTATATCAGATATGGTCAGATATAGATCAGATATACTGTATATCGGATATGGTCTGTCCACTTGGTATGGTGATCTTTCTGTTAAATCAAAATTAAAGATACTATATAATGTTCGAACTTCGATAAAAATGATTGGACTGAATGACTATCCTAGTATTCAGACTCGGTATGAGTAAAGCACACTAAATGAGGCTGAAAGGATTTTAAGTGACCCATCTCATGCACTCTTCCGCTCTTATGAACTCTTGCCGTCTGGGAGAAGAGGTACAGAACTCTGTTAGAAGCGGAGCAGGTGCAGAAACTCTTTTGTACCGGTATCAATTACACTGTTGAACATGAATTAGTAAAGTCAAACATGTAATATTATTAGTAACTGCACTTATTAATGCAAAACAATAGTCATTTTACGATTAAATTAAATGTATTATTAAAAATACCCCCAGCGCTACCAAATCAGGCGCTATCATCTGTAAAACTAAGTGGCACCGGTGTTTCTGGAGCCCTGATTGAAAAATAAAAAAGTAACAAATATTGCCAGTATTAACTAATTAATGAATCTGTTTAATGAATCATATTTTGAGTGATTGTAAAATGTTTTTAAAATTTGCATTTATTAAAATAGTGGTGAAATCCCCTCCTCTTTGCAGCTTCCTCCACTGGTTCAATTCCTGACGGCAGCGATTCGTCTCGTTCAGACACTCCAGTTCGTAATCCCTCTGGGGGAGGAGCCTCCGAGTCTAGCCCCGCCCCCACAGTGGACCAGCCTGGCAGGACGGCTCTCGGTGTGGTTCCCGCTCCCAGCAGGATTCCCAGCATCGTCAACACCGGACCTCTGCCGCCCGGGTATGACATTCATATAACCCAGAAACAGCTTGAGAGCATTAGCCATAACTGCACACACTTGGTTAATAAACAGAAGTGTTGTTGGTTTACATCACCTTACGTCAAGTCAAGTCACCTTTATTTCTATAGCGATTTTTACAATACAGATTGTTTCAAAGCAGCTTAACAGAGATAACAGGAAAATAATACGACAAAGTTTGTTTCTATAAGAAAATAGAGTCATAGTCCAGCTTAAGTAAGTTCAGTGATGGTTCATTTTTGATGTAAACAAGTTATTAATTTAGTTAATTTATATATATAGCCGCTATGTAGAAAACTGTCACTTCCTAAACCACTTACAGGCATAATATCATAATATTAAAACATGACATAATATCTTAAGTCATTTTGCATATCAAGTATATGTATCTTAATTTAAGAATGTTTTAGACATTTGTAATGGAAAACATAAAGACAAAAATACAGAAGAATTTTTTTTTGTTTATTCGACCACTAACTGTAGTGTGTGTGTGTTTGCAGTTGGGAGCAGCGTGTCGATCAGAACGGGCGTCTGTATTTTGTCGACCATGTGGAGAAGAGGACGACTTGGGAAAGACCGGAGCCTCTGCCCACAGGGTAGGAAACTGAACTATGAGACACGCCCTTAAAAGAATGCAGTATGCATACTTGACGCATACTTTTAACATATTTCAACTGAAACGCACAGTCAGAGTTTGGCTTTTTCAGGTGGAGTTGTTTAACAGTTCAGGATCTGGACGGTTAATAAAGGTGTTATTTTTGGACACAACATCTTATGTATTTTCTGATAATTATATTTTAACATACATGAAAAACAACTGCCAAATGCTAGCTAGGTGAATCTAATAAAGCCAAGGTCAAATTTCACAACAAAATAAATTATATTTTGTTTAAGAAAATGCAGCTTATATGTTAGGATCACCTTTTTCCACGGTGATTTAGGGATGTGTAAAACTACATATTTGCCTAAAAAACAAGTCGACTAAACAAACTTATCAGCCCGTAATTAGGCTGGTTTCACCCGACCCGCATTTCCTAGGGTGTGTTCACATAAAACACGTTCTTGGCTAGACGAGCAATGGGTATATTATATTTACAGAGCCGGACAGTAACGGAGTACATTCACTTGAGTACAGTACATAAGTACAATTTTGAGGGATCTGTACTTTACTCGAGTATCATTTTTGGGGATTACTCATGACTTTACTCAAGTACATTTGAGAGGCAAATAAGGTACTCTTTACTCAACTACATTTCTATCCATAACCGTGAGTGCCGTTTCTACTTCTTACAAAAAAACAAAAAAAAATCTCGGAAACCCTCAATTTGTTGTTTCCCTCCCAAACGTGATCGGATTGTGCAGGCCAAACTGATTAGGACAGCCTATCAGCAATCACCTTCAGCTTTCCGCCAAAGTCAACTCCATGGTCAGATTTAAATAAGAGACGAAACCATGGACCAAACAATGGATTAAGACGCAGCAGGTCCATCCCGGGAATGTGCCAACCCGTGGCCCCACCTCGCCAGACTATTTCAATTTTCTGAAATTTTCTTAAATGTTAAATAAAGCAACATGGTAAAAAGATGAAAATTTCTTGATTTTACTTTCAATTCTTTTTACATTCTCCAAGGTATTAACATTAAAAAATTTTCATAACTCCATGTAGGACGTTTCTGTACATAAATGTAAGCACTGTGGCAGTAGTAATGCAATATTTAGAAAATGTACTCTTGATACTCAAGTACTTTTAAAAACAAGTACTTCAGTACTTTTACTTAAGTAGACATCTGACTGTAGTACTTTTACTTGTACTTGAGTAAAATTTAGCAATTATTTAGAAAAAATTTAGCGGACTCTGTCCGCCTCTGTATATTTAAAACTTGTTTAAAAGATTAATTCATAAACATTTTTGGCCTAAAATGAGCTTCTCAACTCAACTTTTATTTATAAAGCACTTTCAAAACCATTAGAATGGACCAAAGTGCTGTCCATAAATAGTAAATAACTCTAAAATACATAAAATAACATCAAAACATGACACCAAGAAAATCATACAACCAATCACTCACAGTTCTCAGACCCAATCAAACGCCAAAAGCTTGATAAAATAAGTAAGTCTTCAAGTCGTTTTTGAAACATCCAGGCGCGATCTCCACTAGGCCTGAAGCAAGACCGTGGGACAGTTAGCAGCATGTTCTGAAATGACGTTGAGACTGGTAAGGGATTAACATGTCCTTCTGTCTTGCAGCTGGGAGCGGCGCGTGGATCAGATGGGACGGGTGTATTTTGTGGACCACATTACCAGAACCACCACGTGGCAGCGGCCCACGATGGAGACGGTGCGAAACTACGAGCAGTGGCAGCACCAGCGCAGTCAACTACAGGGAGCCATGCAGCAGTTCAACCAAAGGTTCATCGTCGGGGTGAGGAACTTAAACACACAGACTGATATATGAAGAAGACTCAGGGGCCTAAAACACTTGTGGCGCTTTTCCACTGCATGGTATGGTACGGCACGGCTCGCTTTGGCTCGCTTTAAATGGTACTACATCTGTTGAGGGGGCTGGGCGATAAAACGGTAACGATAATTATCGCGATATAATTTTTCTCGATAAAACGATATCAAGAGGTCGATAAATGTTCGATAATGTGTATGCGCCAAAAGCGGAACGAAACTCATTTGAACCGTGCGCGCCTCACGGACTGTTTATCCGCTCGACTCAAAGTCCAAACCATAGATATCCATAATAAAGGCTAGATGTCCAGATGTTCTTTTCACCAGATTGAAAAGAAGCAAGACCAAATGCAGAGTTAGTTTTGGTTTTAGTTTAATGACATCATTTTCATTTTTGGGTGAACTAACCCTTTAAGTCTGCTGTTTAAAACAAATAAAGAACCAGTGTAGGGGAATGGTTATTATGCGTAAACATCGGGAAACTCTGTATATTCGTGCAGTGTGCGCATGCCAAAAAATCTATTTCGATTTGAAGCTTGTGACATATAATTAAACGAGCACATGTTTAGCATTCATGTAAACACTACATTCAGATTCATCAATCGGAATGAATCATCAGTGCCTGACGCCACAACTGCCTGTAATTCCTGTAGAAACACCAAAATCTTGTGGAAAGATTTGTGGGAAAGAAGTGTGGAAGCTGTTATAGCTGCAAACGCGGGATCAACTCCATATTAATGTCTATGCATTCAGAATGTGATGTCATTACAGTCCCTGTTGATGTAAAGTTCTGGCGTCTCAATACTTTTCTCCATGTAGTTTATGTACAGGTGAAACTCGAAAAATTTGAATATCGTGCAAAAGTTATAATTTTGATGATTATGGCTTATGAAAACCCCAAATTCAAAAT